TACATTAAAGCAGCAGCAGCTGCACAATTCAGTCTATCAATTGTGAACAGGATCCCAAGAGACTTGAATTCCTCCACTTGAGGCAGGAACTCTGATATGAAGAGAACAAGCCACATTTTTCCAGTCAAGAACCATGGAGTCAGAATAGGAGAGGCTTCACACATTCAACTGCAAACTGCCACTGTGCACTTTGTAGGTCTTGGCAGTAGGAAGCCAATCTGCTTGTTCCCCAAACCAGACCCCCTCCAGCCCTTGTCTGCACCTAGAAGTCCTGCCCATAAAGGGGACAGAAAACAGCCCTACTAAAGTCCAACATGCTTTGAAAACAGGTTGAACTTAACACAGGGAATGCAGACCAAACTCCTGCCCCCCTAGAACAGTAGCTTGGATGGCCCTTAGGAAAGGGGTACTAGCTCAAGACTCCTAGAGTACCCACCACAGGGCATGATGAGGGACACAGCTGAATGCGTTCTCCAGGTCTACAAAGCATATATGGACCAGTAGGGCAAACTCCCATGAACACTTTAGCACCCTGTAAGGGTGCTAGCCCAGCGTTCCACAGCTGTAACACTAATAATTAAGAAATTATTTGACCATTTGGCCCCTAGCCTATTTCAAAGTTCCTGTGTGGACTGTTAATGTGATTTATAAACAATAAGGATAATATGTAGTACTGATTTATACCACCTTGTAAAACCAGAGCTGTTGTTTAACCTACAGTCTATTTCCATAAAAAAGCCATCTTATCTCCTTCTCCTAAATATTCAGCAAAGCCTTTCTGCGTCCGGCAGTGAGAGTGACTCAAAGCTTAAGGCACACCTGGCAGACATCGTCAATCTGTTTTTGTGTGGAGTTCAATGGGCAAAAACCACAAGTAATCATGGGTATTACGGAGCACGCTGCTGCGCTGATGAGTGGATAGCCCACATGGTTATTATGCTTCAACCCACAAGCAGGTGGTCTGGCAGAAGGCAAATAATAGAAAAGAGGAAGTGTGGTTTGAAATACGCAAAGGGCCTTTGTTTCTCACACACACATACACACCCTCATGCAGACTGTCAGTGACTGCGATCAAAGTTTATGTGATTTGTCTTGGCATATGCCAAACACAGAGGCTCAAATGTCTACTGTGCAGGGATTCTCTAGAACCATGTTGTTCTCTCAGGTAGAAAACCCCTCTCAACAGCCAAAGGGAACCTAACACTGGCAGCGGCGGCCATATAAAAGAGTTACACTATGTGCTTCTGCTTGTGTGATGATATGATCAGATACGGCACCTTTTCTTCCCTCAAGCCACTCTGAGACTGCTTCCTGACTCTGAATAGGAGCGCATGGGTGGGAGTAAAGGACGTGAGGGGGGAGTTAAGATAGACTCATCTGACTGGGGCAAACAGGGTTGCCATTGAAGAATGCTCAGAACTAGAGGGACAAGGGCTCACTTTCATTGAGGTAAATGAATACTGTAGCAGAGACACATACCAGAAAGGAATTAATGGCTCTGATTGTTATCTGAGAAAAAACTTGATAAAACCCCTAAAAAGTAGACAGGTTTTCAGCAGCAAGATTCAAGCTCTAATGTTTTTAAATCTTTAATGGCTGTGTTTCTGCTGGATACCTCAGATCTAAACTTAGAGATGCCAAAAAAGAAAAAAAAAATAGATACGGCTGCTATACACTCCCGCACCCACAGGTATTTTAACTGTTAAATATTCTATTAAAATTTGGGGTAAATGTTTTCAGTTTGCTGACATTTTAAACAAGTGTCAGATTAAGTACTTTGAGTTGGCCACGATAGATGCTTTCAAACAGGTCAACTAAGGTAGACTTATGCAACTGAAAACTCCAGTGTCAGTTGTTGACACACAGTCACTTGCAAAACGCTTGAAGTAATCCTAGATTTTAAACTAAACTGGTGATACATTTCTTTCTGTGAACACTTGCAATCACTTCCAGTTCCGAAGCTATTTTCTTCACAGTAACTTTTTTTTTTTTACTGCTACTTAATGTTGAATTATGAATCACCCCGCCATAGAAAGGCCCCTAGGCTCCTCTAAGGATAAGTCTTAATTATGTCATAACATAACAGGAATTTTAACAAAGAACCTGATTTAAATTCAGACAGTCATTGAAGCTCACCTTTTTCACAGAGGTTCTCTGAAAATGGCCAAGGGTTGTAAGAGAAAAAGTGTCTATTAAGTGCATCAGGGAAAAAAAGGCCTCAGAAGAGGCAGATATATCCCAAAATGCTTTTCGCGGAGAGCTCTCCATGCAAACATTTTGGGTTTTGCTGTCACAGCAGCCTGCTGACCCAATAGGCTGTCACTACCTGACAGCAGCGACTAATAACAAAGATGGCGCAGGCACTGTGCAGTGGAGGAGGATTTATGAGACCAACAGGGAGCAAAAACCACTGATCATCTGTCCGAACGGTGAGTTAACAGAGTTCGCTATAAAGTCTACTATATAGTCCCCGCTCTTTATAGTGATTGAGGGATTTAGGGGTTAGAGCAGATGTTCAGTTACAGGGTTGTTCATGTGCATTTTTGGAGTGGAGAGCATGGGTCTTTTGAAAAATTTGCCAAAATCCTCCACAATACCTCTAATCCTTAAATAGAACAATAAATCAAGCATTCCTCCTGATAGTGTTTACTTAGTCCTTTTAGAGGAAGTTTAGTACAGGGGTGCGATAAATAGACAGACTTGTTGTGCACCAACACCACCTGTGGTAATATAATACGCAGTACCTTATAAACCTTTCTATCTCACCAGTATCAGTATTAGAAAGGCCGCATACTCACAAAATCCATCATCTTAACAGAGAAACCAGAATAGTTCAGCAGCTTTAGCTCTTCCTTTAGTTTGTTCTCAGTGCCACTTGTGTCTCATTCCTCTTGGCACCAAATATTTTTTAGCGCTTTGTCACACTTCATCCTGGACTTTTCCTCCTTCTTTTCCCACCACCACTCGATGATCCTTTCAAGCTTGGTTTCACTGTTTCACCTAGTGATATAATAAATAGTGATGGCTCTTCTTTGTCACTCATTGAGAGCCTATATCGCCAAAATTATTGTTGCGTTAAATACATAATAATGTAGGTCCCACTTAAACAAACCATTGGGTTAAGATTCTGGTACCGGTTCAAATGGAGTTAGAGAAAATGTTAAGAAGGTTATCTACTACCTGAAGATATAACCTGACTGAAAGTTTTTAACAGACTCTGACTGTAATAGTCCTGAGCTACCGCTTTAAATCTGACCTGCTTTGCAGCTCTGCTGTCTTTTTTTGATTTTGCATCTCTTAAATATAAGATTTTCAGGTGATTCTTATTAGCTAAGGCTTTTTCGGGCCAAGAACGTCATCCTACATTCTTCCTTTTTGGAACACCAAAAATGGGCTTTCAGATTCCACTGCAGGTAATTTAAAAATATGAGACAAAATAGTCATAAAGCATTCAAAACAAGAAACATTACTTTTTGTAGCAGCTTTAAATAAAGATAAAGAATGCAGCCGCTAGAAAATAAAAATAAAAGGTTTACTTTATGAAGATCAAGAGATTAACTTCTGTTAAAAATGACAAAAGTTGAACTTTTATTTTTCAAGCAATCCTATCCTCACCAGGTCACATCACTCTGCAATCTACACAGTGCCAACAGAGGTATGTGATCTCTCAGCAGCCTCCTTCCTGGCCCTCCATCGAATCGCCCTGACGTCTCTCATCTCCATGGACAGAAAGAAGGTTTGCTCTGAAGCTCTTTGATTTGGGTCATCCATTGTACTACTGGAATCTGCAAGATATTATTACTGGTATGAACTGCTTCCCCTCAGTTCACACCTTCAGAACTCATTGATGATGGGCTGTTTAAAATAAAATCCTCTACAATTCTCCACTTTGGAATTAGTAATCCTCAAGAAAACTAAAGCGGGGTTGAAAACAGGTGAATGAACTTTAGTGCTGGTTCATTTTTGAACATATGTAGTATTCCAACTCTGATGACCTGTCTAAGCTTTGGCAACCCTTAAACTTTTTGCTGATTATCCATTGCCACAGTAACAACCAGCACGAAAAGAGTGCAACTCTGAAAAACACAATCACTGGCTTGGCCTTGTGTGCCTGCTCGAAACCAACCCAATGCCCACCTCCATGTAAAATTGGAGACGTCTGAGGAGTGGGACAGTGCAGGGGCACAATGATGGCTTTGTGGCCCAGTGAGGAGGAGGTGGGGTGTGTGTGAGAGATGAGTGAATACATGAGCAGGCCAAATTAAGATGTGGCGGGGGTCCAAGATGACTGCCCACTTGTTGCTGTCCGAAGCTTTGACCTGGCCGACTCAGTCATTCCAGCAGTGAGACAATCTGACTGCTGCGGCTCAAACCGGCATTGGAATTTAAACAAGAAAGCAAGAAAAGGTGTAAGCCTACAGGTTTACCCTTAAACTTATTAATCACAGCCTTTTCTGAAATCTTTTATAGATTATAAAATGTGTAGCCATATGTCTTGGGCAATCAGAGAGGGTGAGGAGGGGACAAAATCCCCAGAGAAGGGTGTGTGGCGGAGGGGGCGGCAAAAGGACGGGGTTTGAGGGTCTCTCTGGGAAGCCTCACCCAGATTAGTCACACAGAATTAATCGCAGAGGAGAACAATAGTCGCCGGGCTTCTGGCAAACCCAGCTGTCGCTGAGTGAAAGAAAAGAAAAACAAGATTTAGGGCCGAAGAGTTTGGCTGGAGAGACGGCAGAATGTGGCGGCAGTAACACATACCCAAACACCGTACCTCACGGTGACCCCCTGGCCTCACCAAGGGTCCACCACTCATTTCTCTCTACATCCTCCGACCATTTGCCACCCAGAAATAGATCCAGCAGAGTGAGCGCTGACTGTTTCATCTCCCTCACACGCAAACCCCAAAAATCTCTGAGTCATTGCAGACTCCACAATCCCACTGTGCAGGAATTTGTCACAACTTGCAGATTCACAAGACATGGGGCAGATGTTGAACTTACTTGCATTCTCCATTGCCATCCGGAGTTGATTCACACTTCCCCTGGTTCAAACATGACTCTGTGGGCATGGAGCATCTTAGACCTGCAAAAGCAACATTTTAACACAAATGTACTTTGCAATACATCCTAAAGGTTCTGAGCTTGTGGCAAAGCAGCAGAAACAACCATGATATATTTTCTTCTCAGACTTGAATCAGGAACTGCAAAAGTATTCCCTCTTAAATGAGAAGTCCACCTGCAACTCTTGATAACTGAGATTCAGTTCTGTGGGATATAGAGGAACTTGCTAGTAGTTTGGCAACAGAATGCTCTAATATGCTGCTTAAAAGCATTTAAAAGAAATATGAGAAGAAATACTAAATCCAAACTGCACACTGCAAAAATGATCCAAAAATGTCTTAAATTAATGTATTTACCCTTAATTTGAGCAGGTAAATAAGATGATTGGCCAAGGGAAGTAGTATTTTAACTGTTAAAATAAAATGATTAGATTATATGCACTTAAAATAAGACAATGCAATTGTTTTTTCTTATTTTAAATGTAAATTGTGTCTCACTTAACTCCTTTCTTCAAGAAAAATCCACTTATTTTAAGAAAAAAATGACTTATTGAGATTTACATTTTTTTGCAGTGCAGAGGCTAATAGGCTTTTTTTCTTTCCTTTCTGTTTGCTGGATAAATGTACAACCACCTGAGGCAAATTAAAAAACATAAAATTATCCAGAAGAAATTAATTTAAAGAAAAAAAAAGAAAAATGCAATTCATATTAAAATAAATAAACATATCAGAAAGTAAACTTGCAAAAGTTTTAAAAAGTTCCTTCAGTTGACAAGAAAGTTTCATATATATATAAATATATAAAGTTTAGCTCATATAAAACTCTTCCAGTTTTGTTTTTAAGCAGTGTTAAGAAACTTCTCCCCCACTCACCTCGCGTTATTCCTATCAGCGACAACAGGAAAGTTAGTTTCACTAACAAAAAAATATGCATTCCTTCTGGTTTAAAAAGATTTTACAAATCCACGTGGGTTTTTTCATAGATCCGATATTATGTCTTCCTTGTTAAGGAAAAAAGGCTGCCTGTTTCAGTTCATCCAAGAGTAGATCCACAGAGTTTAGCAGAAGTGAAGCGGACTCCGGGCATGAGACGTTGTCACTTCAGGACCAGACTGGGAAATGATTGGAAGGACGCAGGTCTCCATCCGCTGCGCTGCGCTGCGCTCTGAAGGGGCGTTTTTCTTCCATAGTCACATAGTTGTTCCCCAGACAGGCACAAGCTGTGCAGCTTGATGGAGAGATAACAGGGAGTTTGTTTTTCTGTCCCCCAGCGGTTTTCCCACCTAGTAAATGGTTAATTAGCTCACACTTGTGGAACATCAGCCCCAAAGGTTCTCCTCAGGATGTTTGAAACTGAGCTGCAAGCTTTTCCAATATTCTGAATAAAAGCGTTAAAACATCACCTTCTCACAGGATTTTAATATCCAATAAAGTTTTAAAAAAGTAGTTTAGTTTCACATTAGAAATACCTTTATTGTCCCAAGGTGCAGAGGCGTAGCCAGAAATTTGTTATAAGGGTTGACGAAAATGGATAGGCACCAGAACATCAGGGTCAATCTACACTGTTCCAACTGGAAAATTAAGGAACAAAACATCCACATTTTCTAAATAAAGACAAACTATACTTTCATACAGCCTTTGCTAACAAATAGACGCATATATTCAATAGCGTTAGACACAACAATAGGCCCGTAAGCAACATGCTGTAGACAACCGACCTGAAATTTGCACACACATACACACTTCACAACATATTCTCATTATCAGTTCGTATGAAATCGTACGAAAAGTTATGCACACTATTTCATACGTTTCAAAAAACCAGATCAGTGCGCATGCGCAGGCAGACAGACAAAAAAAGCAGATCCGCGGACGGACGTAAAACTGGCAAAAACAGTGCAATAATCACTTATTCATGTCTCTAACTACGTTGCTTGCTGTTTTATATCTTAGGGTTAGGGTCAGGGTTAGGGCTAATTGTATTTTAAATTCTATGTTCTTGAATGTTGTGTAAGATGTGCATGCCCATACGACGAAAAAAACGTCCAAAACGTACGAAATTACGGTGCATAACTTTTCGTACGATTTCATACGAACTCATAATGAGAATACACTGCACTTCATCATTTCATCATTCTTCACCTTCACTAGACATGGATATCATTTTGTGTATTCTGCTGTAAAATGAGTTACCTTGAGTTTCACCACCTCCTCCTCACCCAAGCTATCTCCATTCATCTCCTGGTCGCAATCTTTACTTACTGTGGCAACAACGTCCACCTCTCCCTCTTTGGTTCTTTGAAAGAACATGTTTATTTTGGGAAGTTTTTTCTGTTCTTCCAGCAGCTTTTCTTTGCTTTTTCTTTTCTGGAATCCGCTTACGTACCTTTTTTTGGTATCCATTGTCGCTAACACATTGTACGTAACGGTTACGGTTTTGATCTACGCTCTGGGTTACCCATAATTCCAAGTCGTATTGTAAAAAATAAAATACTTGAATACATTGTTTTTTAAGATCTTTATGGTGGTTTGAAACATATTATATGAGTGTATTTTTTACCAACTGTCTAATGAACTACACACAGTTGTTAACAGAGGGAAAATGGTAGGGTTGGCCACAGGGGTGGCCAATGATTGCTTAAGGGTGGCCATGGCCACGCCTGGCCCCCCATCTTGCTCCGCCACTGCCAAGGTGATCAAACAAGGCACAAGCTATACATTTGTGTTCTTATATTTTAGAATAATATTGGCAACTCCGTTTTTTTAGGCAGATAAATGCCATTGAAAGCTGTTTTTTTGTAAAAAAGAAAAATAAATAAATAAAAAAAAAATATATATATATATATATATATATATATATATATATATATATATATATATATATATATATATATATATCACAAAAGGTACATTTGGGATAGCTGTGTCACATTCTTAAGTTGTTTGGGTTTGTTTTTCCTCTGTCATGTTATAGCTTTTTCTTGTTTAGAATAGAATAGAATAGAATAGAATAGAATAGAATAGAATAGAATAGAATAGAATAGAATAGAATAGAAAAGAAAATTCTAGTATCACAATGGGAAAATCACGGTGTAACAGCGGCAAAGTGACAGGTGTTATAGTAAAAGGGTCCCACACGTATAGACGTTAAAAAAAATGAAAAATTATTGAAGAAAAGTTTTAAAAAAGTTAAAAACACAAATGCAAGTAAGGTAAAGTAAGACCAAAAATAAGCTTTGAATAGAAGTACCGTGCTGTCACAAAAAAAGAATAGATCACCAAAATATACAGGCATGCACATTTTTTAAGTTAATAGTTATTAGGTGTTTTATAAATAAAATTGAATTTGAACTTAATAGGAGTTGTAGTACTTGTATCATGCCATTGAGTGGTGGGCAACAGAAGTAAAGAACCAACAAAAAGGAGAGGGGTAGAAACAATAAGGCAGCAGAGGAAAAAAGTTTTGTTTTTGTTCTTTTTTTGTGGAACAGGAAGCAACAATGAATGTTTTGTTATAAAATCCAAACTCAACTGAAAAGCCACCACACTTCTGTAGTCCACCATTGTTGGTGTTTTTGTGTCACTGCATGTAGTAAGGGATGTGCACGAGGATATCCAGACAGATCAGCTGCAAGGGATGGCTTTAAACTTTACCAGTCTGGAAGCAGATAAGAAATGTTGGTTTCATGGCTGCTCCATATGAATACGACCCTTGATTCAACCGAGAAGATTAGACTTGACCGAACTGTTAACACGTTAACTATTAAAAGATGCAGAGGAGAGTTAAAAAAAACTGTAACAAGTCTAATTATTGAAGAGATTTTAGTAAGTAAGAGAACATTTCTAATTAAGGAACAACACAATATTTTGCGGGCTGATAAATGAATAATGATTCCTTTCGGTGTTCAGGTCCTCAGATAATTTGTCAATAAACCTCAGACAGTGAGTTCAAGCCACACTGAAGTAACACATGTTTCCAGCTATGTTGTCAGTACTATTTATTGTGCCGCAGGGAAAAAAGGATCAGTTTAAAAACATTAAAATATTGTAACAGATCACATTTCCCTGTGCCAAAGAGGAATCCCTCTTAAGTTTGGTGGTTTTAACAAGGCAGCGACCCCAAACATAAGTAACGGAACTGTCAACTTTCCAGCCCTAAAACATTTATATTATAGTACTACAGAGTAGCCAGGATGTTTAGTCGAACTTTTTCCAACTAAAAAAAATGTGAATGAGCCCAAAATGTTATTTCTAAGGCAAACCAAGAATGCAGAGGAACTTTGGAATGTGACCCAGTGATCCAGGGCTGGAATATCAGTTCACAGGTGCCAGAAGTTGGCTGACTCCATGAAACACAGATGTGAAGCAAACCCAGTGGTTGTACCACTAAATATTAGTTCAATGCTCCACAGGAAATTTTCAAACTTCAAGAATATTTTTGATAAAGTACATTTCTAAGTTTATACCAAACTAACTAAATATTCATTTCGCCCTGACTCCTTCCTGTATTAACATGTTTACTGTTGCATTTGAATGTAACTATAAAGACAAAAAACAGAAACTCTGATTAATATTTAATGCAACTTTATATAGCTTAATGTAAAAGAAAAAAATTACGAAATTGTCAGTTGTTATTGTTTTTCATGAAGCTCTTAAAAGTTCCTGCTGCCCTTTTACTTCTCCTTAAAATGTGTAGAAAATTACAGTCATGTATTATTTTATTTTTTTGTGGTTTAGATTTAAAAAAATATTTTATTTATCTTAATTAACCATTTTGTTATTGTTGTGAAAAATGTCCTACAAATAAAATACACTCACTGACTTATCTATTAATTATGGATATTTTTTTTCATCTGCCTATAATGTTCACCCAACCATTATATGTGTTGGAACTTTAATCAGTAAATGCTCTTGCTTATTACTCCAATAAAAAGTACCAACATAACAAAAAGGAAGCAGAGTTTATCTGAGCATATAGGTTCAGTAAACAAATCTTCACTGAATTTGAATCCACCTCTCATCAACACAATCTTTTGTTTGAACGCATTTCTTTAAATCTCTCTCATGCATTCTGACAAGTGTTGGGAAGGCAACTTATCAGCAGTCAGGATCTTTAGCACTGATAAATGCATGCTGACAGCGTCGAAAATAAGTTTCAATCAGCAGGTTTACAGAGTCAGCAGAAGCAGGAGCACATTCCCATCAGGTGGTGTGTGAACAGAGACTGAGGAGACTCACACAGGTAAAAGTCATTAGACCAGTAACGCTGATAAATGTACATTACAATTTGTTGGACAAATCTTCTAGTGCAGACTACATCTGTTTGATATAAACTCTGTAGTCACTGCGCTGATTTGTTCAAGTGTGCCTTCTTACATTGGAAATCAAATAAACCTAGCCAAGTTGCTACTTAATTATCATGTGATTTTACAGAAAAAGCTAAAAATATCAATTAGTAGGCAGATACTCAGAAATTATCACTGGTTCTGACTTTCACCCTCCAGGACCTCTATGGGTCAAGAAAGGGTTAAGGGGACAGATAACATCTCTGCAGACTCCACACATTCTGGACACAACCTTCATTAGTAAAAATAAGCCTCCACAGAGAGATGTTTTTTCCTAAGCCACACTCCAATAGCATGTTATTTCTTAGTTTTATTAGAATTGTCAGGAGCAGAATTCGGATGAAAAAGATTAATCCAATACAAATATGGAATAAAGCTGGAACATAAATAAAATTGAAAAAAAAAGCAACATTGTGATTCCTCTCCAGATGCCCCGTAAATATTTTGTGTATGAGTGTACTGTATACAGGACATACGATGGGATGAAGGTCAGAGCTACCAGCTACCACTGCAGCTATGGCACTACTCCTTAGATGCAGCGAGGATGCAGAGTTTGGTTTGGTGTGGCAGAATGATGATGAGGTGGGGAAATTATCAGCTGATGAGAAGTGCAGCTGACAGAAGAAAACTGAAAATGTATGTCCCAATAAAGATGCCGTTATTTTAATGATAAAAAATATTCCGACTAAAGCTCTAGCAATGACTAAAAGTCATGTAGTTATTTTGTTAAATGTGTCTCTAAGCAAAACTTTGTGTGACACTGTATCACCCATACAAATGAGACT